TGAAGATTGTGCTATGCGATGGGTTGAATTATTTCTCTTGCTCTAGCTACAGCACGTGACTGCGCTATAACCCTCATCAAAGAAGTATTCATGCGGCATGGTATACCACGAAGAATCATCAGCGATAACAGCACCCAGTTTATTAGTGCAGTCATGCAACAAGTTTGCTGCACAATAAATATCAATACTTGATACCAGTTTACTTTCCTCAGTCAAATCCTGTGGAACGGAAAAATATGGACTTAAAACCTCGTCTTGCAATCTAGTAGGAGATGCGCATGACAACTGGCATTCGAAACTCCCAGTTATTTGCTTCGCTATGAATACGGCTGTCTGTGACACTACAGGCCATAACACAAGCATTCCTAATGTTTAGAAAAGAACTGAGGACTGTCGACGACGTCGTTCACGATTTCAAAGCTGTGGTTGAAAATGATAACTTTTGTTCCTGAAACAGGGTTGCCACTCAAACAGGAGAATGAAATTCCCTGACTTTTCCAGGTATGTTTCGAGAAAATTCCAGTCTATCCGTGTAATGTACGTTGGCTGCGCTAAGAGCTAAATTAATTATGGTATTACTTGTACTGTGTAGCAAATTCAGTTAATTATTCAATAAATCTCAGAGGACATTTATTCTTAATTATTCTTGGTACACTTTGTTTGATAATTTTGTTTACTTTTCCACTTAAGAAACTTAATAAAATTTAAGATATATACATTATATAACAATTATACGTTTTATTTAATTATTACTCATGATCATCACCAGTTCAACATGAGGCTAATCCGGTTCTTATAAATCACAACGCAATGCTAAAATTAGGTTAGATTTTAGGTAAATTTAATTTGTGTGAGGTGTCTTCTTAAAAGGCACCTTAACACTTGAAAAACACAAATATAATTATAATAGGAGTTGTTTTCTCCACTGAAGATTGAGATTAGAATCTCCCCAATCTGGAATAAAATAAGGCTTTTTTTGCTGTAGCTAAATGAAAGAAAGAAATCTATTTAATGATATTTTTTTACTAAATTGAGGTATTTTATATTTATTTCGCAGCATACATAAGGAAAAAATATGTGCATTAAATTTCGTGATGTCATCATACTGCTAGAATTAATTTCAGGTTTATGCCAGAGAAAATTTCCTGAAATTTGGAAATATTATTTACTAATGATAAGTAAATTTAAAGGGAAGAAGCAACATTAAATGATATGAATTATAAAAATAAAAGATAATTACTTAAAAATTGAATTAGAATAATCAACGATATTTTAGCGAATATAGTTATATTACATGGTTAGCATAGATGACTGATTACTATTTTTTTGTTTTACTGCAAAATGACAAGGTATTTATTAAAAAGAAAAGAAAAGAAAAAAAAAAAAAAAAAAAGATTTTGCGGTAAAATCCTTTCCCCCCTCAAAATAACTAATCCATGAATTAATTTACTTGCGCCAAAAAATATTTTCTTTTCCTTTAGAGTTTAAAGAAATTTTAAACGATATTCATTTTATGAATTCTGGATAACGTGACCTTCGACACCGTTTAGAGCTTTGGCGACACATGTATCGCGCATGCACAGCTGTTTCCCTCTATGATGGAACGGAGCCACGTTTGTTGCAGAGAGGTTTTCTTTCTTTACAATACATATTTTTTTATTCTAACCTTCATGGTATCTGTATACTACGATTAAACCCAATTTTGTTTTATACGAGAACATGTACTTTTGTTTAGTTCAACATGTACTGCACGTGTGGCATGCGATTTTCGAGGTTACTGGAAACCAAAATTTGTGGGAAACTTGATTTGCCTTTCTAAAAGACAATCAAATTGGAGCTGCGAAAATTGGCTTTATGCCAGCTGCCCAAATGACACTCACGTGATACACAATTCGCCAAAAAAGTGATCTCCTCCGACGTCGGCGCAAAACTCGCCTTTTTTGGCGGGATTGTTGTATGAAATTCCCTGACTTTTCTAGATTTTGACTAAAACACTTAAATTCCCTGACTTTCCCCTGAATTTTTTTGGTCAATTTCCAAATTCCCTGACTTTTTCCGGTTTTCCAGGTAGCGTGGCAACCCTGCTGAAATCACCCCTTATCTTAAACGATTCGCAACTACTACAAAGGACATATGAGAGTGTATCGAAATAAAGCAAGATCAACGTAAAAAGCAATATGATAAAGGAAGGCGACAAGTGTTTTATTCACCAGGTGATGGGTCAATTTACATCCCGTTAGCAATGCAAAAAACAAAAAGAATTCAAAGTTCATACCAAAGCGTGACGGTCCATACTTGATTAGGACACAGAAATCACCTACTTCCTATGTCATTTCAAGCCTTCGTAAACCATCAAAACCCTTAGGAACTAACCATACATCTGCACTAACACCTTTTACAGACTCGTCCAATTCTCCCATTCTTCTGCTCAGAAGAGAGGTAGACCGCCAAAAGTTACTTTGCATTCCCGAAATAATCAAGAACTTGTGGTTCCGGATAGTGCTCCAAAGAGAGGTCTCCTTGCCCAGGAAAAAAAAACAAAAAAAAAAAAAAAAAAGACTACAGACAATGTTACAAGAGGTCCCACATCCTCTAATTCTGTCTCCTTGCCAAGACGTCGGCGGAGTCAGAGGGGAAGTTTGTAACCAATCCCTTAATATAAACTGTTGGACTAACTGTGACAACAAGGCTGCCCTCTGGTGTGTAGCCAGATAAGTACTTCAGTAAAAGCCATGCGTCCCACTTGATAGGTTGTATCAGACCCTTGCTCTGTAATTTTCTTAAAATTAAATGTAATGTCCGTGTGTAACTCAAACCTGTTAATAAATACTTTTTACACTATACAGGACTCTTCTATGACCCTATCTAAAACGACCCCTTCACAATAATAAATTATGCTCATTTTTAAAGAGCTTTACACATAAAAACTATATTAGTGTTTTTATATACAGCAGTATTACAAAGTTTGAAGACCACTCTCATAAACTGTGTCTCTAACACATTGTTCATTAACTGTAAGAAATCTTCTTTCCTATAATAAATCTTAAAAATTACAAATAGTCATACATTTTCAGTCATTTAACTATAAGTTCTTTTATTAATAACCAACATATATATCCTTGAAAAACAGCCAATGGAAATATTTAAGACTCACTGAAAATAATGGTTCTGTTATAAATATTTACCTTAACCCACAATAAAAATGTTAGTCTAATTACGAGAGAATAGTTTTAGACTAGAGGTCCTAATTCAAATGGAAGTTAGCTACAAGATATTACTTAGCGTTCGGTGTTAGATAACAAAATATTGCTGTACAGTATGAACAACCTTGTGTTTGGCATAGATTTGATTTTACTTAGTGTTCGGTGTTAGATAACAAAATACTGCTGTACAACATAAACAACATTGTGTTTGGCATAGACTTGATTAAAACTATCTATTTCTAAGGAGAACAGGATAGACTCCTATCAGGTGTAAAATATTCCTGCAGAGCAGGGAGGAGCCACGTCTGTGCTTATATCAAAACACAAATATTAGAGCAAAGTGAATATGAACACACCATCATCAGTTCAAAGCAACAGTAAAGAAATATGCAATATTAATATTTTAAAGGCATTAGGAAGGACGGGGTTCGAATTGCTGTTAACTAAGCAAGGTGAAATCAAGTTCACCGACTCAAGAAGCTTTATGGATAATTTTCAAAGATGCTAAGTTAAAATTGTGATTAAATTTCTAGAGATATGATTAGTTATAAAAAATTTGAAGGTTACGTATTTGTTTAGATGCTATTTAATTTAGCTTTTCAAATATTAATATCTTAATAACAACATAAATGTGAAAAAGGGGCCAAGTTCGGGTGATCTGACGCTCAGTGTAATCGATGTCACCAACAAAAGTATGTGTGTGTGATATTGGCAAAGCCTTGAGGGCTATCTGCCTAAGGAGAGGGATGCCTTTGTGGAGGACTTTCTAAGGGAAACTGGCTCGTATACACGCTACACATGGGGAAAACCTCGAAAACACCTATGCATCCAGCCTGTTGGCGGGATTTGAACCGAACTACCAGTGTTCAGCGACTTCCAGTGTTCCGCTCGGCTGCTGGTGGGAGTCACCAACAAAAGAGATGAGATCTAATAATCTAAGTTCCATAGCAGTTCCTTTAATCACAGCTACAAGAATGTACAACATACTTCAATTCATTTAAAAAACAATTTAATACTTTCTTTGATATCAGATTTCTAACTTCGCAAGTTTTAATTATCAATAAATTACGTTAAAAATATCAGACTTCTCCAATCACAAAATTAACTTGCCAAGTTAGAAATCCAATATCAGAAAAGTAATAAATTGTTTTTTAAATGAATTGAAGAAAATTGTACATTATAACAGCTATGATTAAAGGAACTATGGAACTCGGATATCAACTCTTGTTGGTGACAAGGATTACACCGAATGTACTTACTCCCGAACTTGGCCCCCTCTTTCACATTTATGTTGTTATGATGATTTAGCTTATACTAGATGAATATGCAGCATTATCAAGGTAAAGAAAGGTTCAATATACTACTAGAGAATTATTCATTTCATTAACTACAAAACCATATGCTGAGCATATCTGAATTCAAATTGTTGGATTTTAAGCATTAATCACTTTTACCTTAACTGGCTAATTAACATGTCACTTAGTACAACAAACACATCCTCGGTGATTTTCGGCATAGCTTGCTACTGTTGACCATTATTAGCATTACGCTATTTCCATATAAAATATTTAAATAACTAAATATCCTACTTAAAAATGAGGTAACAATTTTTTCATTGATGTTATATCTAAGATGCATTGTGAATTAAAAGCATAAATATGATTTAAAATATACAGAAATTATAAGCACAGTATCCTTTAAACAATAAACACAGAAGAAATAGCTGTAAATATTTATATTTCAAATTCCTCTTTACATTCTATTTGAATTAAAAATTATAAAATTAGCAACACATACTTGAGTTATTATAGCATTCCAACCTCCTCTACCCCAAGCATAATCCCCTGGATTACTATGTAGATTCAGAAATCTGCAAAAAATTCAAGATGCATAATTAAATATATATATATATATATATTTTTATCTGCCATGAAAACCTGTATTTAAATAGCATTTATTAACAGTTTGCATAATTGCTTATTTTAGTCTCTATTTTCACAAACTTAAATTCATTAAGATGACATTAACATTATTAAAATAGTAAGAAAAAATATCTTAAATTATAAGCAAATATGTGCCAAGTGACAAAAAATCTTATGACTGGCTGCTCAGAGGGTTAATTCTTGTGATTCAGATGTAGCTTTTAGATCAACAACAATAAAAAATCTCATGACTGGCTGCTCAGAGGGTTAATTCTCTGTGATTCAGATGTAGCTTTTAGATCAACAACGTTTTTAGCTTTCATTTGTTCAGTTCTTATGCTGTACCATTATGGCTCACTGTGACCTTCATGCTACAGTTTATGATTCATCAGTTGGTTTCAGTCCACTTTTGTTCAACAAAAAGTAGTAGTTATTAGTTATGTCTCAATTCTTTTACCCTCCTCTCAATTAAAAAAAAAAAAAGTTTTGTAAAGGGTTATTTCATGCAAATGTTTACACCCTGTTAGAACACTATTAAATCTTTACTGTTACATTACCCAGTATCTTCAACATAATTTCCTTCGATTTTAAAATTAAGCAGAATGAATAATCTACAAAAAATTCATTATTAAGTAGCATACAAATGATTATTCTGTATTAAAATACATATGCATAGTACTAGAAATATACATTATTTACAATAATATTGCAAATGTTTATAAAAATATAAATTACATATGTTAAAAATAATACAAAACATATATATATATATAATATATATATATATATATATAGATATATAATATATCAATTTAAAATTAAGGTATGAACTGTTAGTAAATACACCAATGTTTTTAATTTCTTCATTAGCTAAACAATAAACTTTTAATTTGAAAGCAAAAGTGATCTTATAGCTTTACTCAAATTACATCAATACTGAGATCAAACCATGTGGTTTTGATATACTGAGAGAAAAATTACATCAGGCCTATTAAACTTTTTCTGATTGATGACCAACATTTTAAAAAGAGACTTTTTTCACAACTAAATATAAAACAAGGATATAAAACTTTTATTCCATAAATTATTTATTTCTTTGGTGGTATATATGAAACATAGTACAGTCAAAAGTCGTTAATTCGGACACCCATAATCCAGAATGATCTATAATCCGGACCTCAAAGCTAAAAACTTTCTGTGCATGCCTCGCGTTGACACATGCGCATAGGTGTTTACGCGTGCGCGTAAGACCTTTACGACTGTGCATATGCGTGGACGCAAGCGCAGAATACGTTTTCGCGTGCACGTTTTAAGTATAACGGACGGTATAAGCTAAAATTATCTAATTATCTATTTCAGTTAATGTTGATGATTGCATTGTTCCTTAATCTTTGAGTTGGGTACGGCTTATTATTTTTTGCAGACTGTTAGAGCAATTTTATAAAAGTAAGCTTGAACTTTCGATTATTTCAAATAGAATTTCCAATATATATTTACTAATATGTAAAGGATATACAAAGCGAAAGTATCTTTCGGAGTCCATTAAACAAAAAGTGGAATTGCTGCAAAAAATGGATAAAGGCATATCCTTTGTTTATCTAAACTTTAACGTTTGTTTATCTTTAACGCGGAGCGAGCGCAATGAATTGGAAGTTGATCTGTCAACACTATCCTTATCTTAATAGCAGATGTTTTTATTTTATTTGGCTTATAATTGCTTACTAAATGTGGTATTTCCTCTCGATGTACTCTGTCTTTGATATGATTTAAATCAAATGCCTCGTCATTATAATTTGCTTCCCATAGCGAAGAAAGTGACAGAGGTTATTGAAAACGAAAAAATTTCGATTGACAAATTAGTCGGTATTCTCGACATAGCAATTATAGGACTTGAACAGCGGAACTTTGTAACTGAACAAGAAATTATGTCTGTTTATGGAATTAAAGAGAATGTATTATCACATAAAAAACGAAGCAACTGAAACAACTTACATTGAAAGAAATGTTTAATAAAGTAAACAAATAAATATTAAGCTTTTTTTTTTTTTTTTTTTGTAAATTTTGATACCCTTTAGATCATAATTGTTCTTTATTTCATAAATTACGGTTTCATATTTTTAATTTTATAATTTCTGCATGCCATTTTACCAGATTTAAACTGATGATCTATAATCCGGAAAAATCGATAATCCGGAATCGCCGAAGTCCCGACGAGTCCGGATTAACGACTTTTGACTGTATACCTAGCATACACTAATAACTAAGCTTTTTTGAAATATCAGTTGTTTTATTCAACTGAACTGTAAATCTTGGGCCTTTCTGCAAATCTAATAATAAGTTTTTTGAATTAGTCATTGCTGATTTTAGAAATTCTAATGACGACCATGTCATTTGACAAAGAAATTTTCAAATTCTGCTACCATATTTACTCTCTGAAATATATCTACCTCCTTAATAACAGCAGATAATATACAAAATCTTCTCAAACGGTGTATATTTTATTTTTTGCGATCAGATACGAAAATTCATATAAGACGCAGAAGTATTTTTCGATAACAGTCATAAATTGCTTAAAATGTTTTTCTTCATTTGAAGATTTTATCAGTCATTTGAAATATTCTTAAGTTTACTGACAAATGAATAAAGCTGGGATTTTAAGATCCCTTTTTAAATGTGATGGTTTCACACTATCCATTACTCCAAATTAAACAAACCAAACAAAGTGGTTATTCATTGTCTCATATTTTTTATGCATCTCAGATCTCTGATTACTAGATCCTGCTTGAAGAGACTCTGTAATTTTATTATTAGCATTATCTTTATTACTTAAGGTCCACAGGTAAAAAATATTTTAACCTAAAATATAAATAAGATTTCTCATTAAAATAAAATATGTAATGCGCATTTGCAACAAATTTTGAACCTCCGATTACTTACATTCTGCAACTGAAGTGCGATGCTATTATTATGATGTGCTTACTGGTATTTTTCAATATATAAATAAAATTTACGTATCATCTTGGGCCTTTTTATAAATGCATTGTAGAGAAAAGTAATTAAAAATAATAAAGGGGTTACGTTTTCTTTCTTTTTTAAATTCCTGTAACTGAAGTTTCACAACCCTATTCAGAAGTGCAAGCCATACTTTAAGATATGCTAATGGAAAATTAGTAGGAACTTCTTTGTGTATTGTTACAGTAGAATGGATGATTACATCGATGGTCATACTAAAGTGAGTTAACTGCATTTCAGACTGTTGTAGAAAGTGTAATACACTACTGGATACTGAAAATGCAACAGGTCCAATCAGGTAAGAACTGTGAAATGCCCCTACCGCATGAGAACGTGGTACTATGGTTTGGGGTGCAACTGCATACAATTCGAGGACACCTCTAGTTCGTACTCAAGGCACTGTGACAGTCCAATGATACGTGATGATGTGTTGTGGCCAGTGACACTCCCCTATCTTCAGAGAGTGCTTGCCCTTTATCAGCAGGTTAATGCCCAACCACGCACTGCTTGCATCAGCCAACGTGCTGTTCAAAGTGTACAGATACTTCCCTCGGCACTGTTCTCTCCCCAATCAATCACACTAAGGCTGCTATCACACATCGGTTTGTTTCGAAAGAACAACTGCTTGGAACAATTTTTCTGCTTTGTTACAACAGCCAATCACCACAGATTGCTTTGGGGCTTGACACAGGGAAAACTGGTTGTCCAATTACAAACAAGCTAACAGCATTCGACACTGATAGCTGATTGGTTGAAAACGAACAACTTGCAACTTTTTACGAAAGGAAGGAAAAAGTCGCACGTCTTTCTTTCAATAGTAAACCAGGCAGAAAAATTGTCCGAAACAGTTGTTCGTGTGAAACAAACGCCGTGTGATACGGGCTTTAGAAAGTGATTGGATGCCTTTTGCAGACTCTGCCATTGCTGCATTCAGAAGATGAACTGTGGCAAAAGGTTGACAGGGAATGGAGAACCATTTCTCAGGACACCATCAGTAGTCTCATCGTACCTTCATGTGTTGCTTCATGTATCACCGTCTAAGGTTTTACTACATCCTACTAAGACGATGTTGTTCTGGCTCTGCATTATGCCTATCACTTTGAAATAAAAATCACTTATTGTTGTATATTAACATAGTTAATACATGGATGTCATAAATCAAAATACATACTTACACAGGAAAACTAGCATTCGTTACTAAACCTAAGAAAAAGAGAAAAAGTTTATTATTTAGATTCTTAATATACAATTTAAAAAAATTTATATAAAAGATATGAAATAATCTGAACTGCTGAAGGAATACAATTCTGTGTATCTAACGGGGTAGAAAATAATTTAGTAATGTTCAAATATATCTAACATTAAATTTGCAGTAATGTTAAAAAAAAAAAGTAACGCATGTATGACATCTTGCATATGCACTAGCATTTCTGATGAAAATATCAAAATAAATTTTTTCAATCATCCAATTTATCAAAAATATGAGAATATCTAAAGAAGTTATCACTTCTAGCAACAGTCCCTGCTTGATGGGATTTTTCTGAGAATCGAGATTCTGGTAGCACTGGTTTAAACAGAAGGATTCCTAGAAAAAAAGAGCCCTGCTGGAAGCGAAGTCCCGCCTAGCTACGGAAACAATGTTGCGGCTATGCAGGATTTTTTTCAACCCGACCGAAAATGACTCAGCTGGACCTCTGTCCCGGGTCGAGATCAACCAATCAGACTCTTCAGAAGCAGAAGCATCCTGTGATCCCAATCTGAGCAATAATTGATTACTATTTGGCGTTCAAGTCTTTGTAATAAGTGAAAATGGTAACCTAGCTATGTGGGTTTCCTGGAAATGTGCAGGTTCTGAGAATTGTCCCTTTCGACGTCCAGTCCCGCATAGCCGAAACAAAATGTGGTTGGAACTTAAGAGAATTTTGATATTTAAAGGATGAAATGAGAATATTGTAGTGCATTAATAATGCAGGACTTAAATATGATAGGTTCTCCTTACTTTGGACTCCCAGAGAATACCAGAATTCCTTGAATTTTCCAAAGATATTCCAGAATTCCTTTATTAACAGAGATTTTCAGAACTTCAGCTTTTGTTCAAAGTATCTATCTAGTCTAAATTTAGAAAGAGTTTGCCCATATCTATACAATTCAGAGCAATCATTTTGAAAATGCATGAAAAATACTCTTTCATATATGACAGCAATGATAGAGAGATGGGTTAAATTCAAAATAAAATTTAAGCTGAAAATTCTACATTTATACCACTTTTAGAAAAAATTAAATTGTGACATTTTGCAAAAAAAAAAAAAAAAAAGGGGGGGGAAGTTACTGGTTTTCAATATGCATATAACAAGAAATTAATAAATTACAAAACATAAAGAGACATAAAATTTCAAATTATACTTGTTAAAAAAACTGATTTCCAGGAAGGAATTCAAGGAAAATCTGGGAACAAGAAATTATTTTCTCTGAAATTTTTACCAAAATTATTCTCATTCCTCACTAAACAGCATATTTTTAATTAGTCTAATGCTCATTCCTTCAGCAATTATGATAAATTTAATTATATAGATAAATAAATACCTGTGTTTTCTGATAATGTAGAAACTAACTGTTGTAAAAACCTATAGGAAAAAAGATGATGCTATACAATTTAGGAAAAGGCATTCTATCACATAATATTCATACAGAATCTAGATTAAAATCCAGTTTATCTGCTTAGCAACTAATATGATTATTACCAATATGCTAATAAAAAAGAACTTAAGAATTTTACCCTTCTGCCCTTGTTCGTACAGCTTCTATATCCTGACCAGAACGACGAGTTGGGATTCGACTTAACCTAGCACGCCTAGAAGGTCCCGCTCGAGATAAATTCCTGCCTTCTCTGCCATCCTGAGCATTTTGACCAAAAGACGGGTCCTCAGACCTTTGAATATAACTTGCCATGCTTAAGATCTAAGGAGAAAAGTATTAAAGATGAAAAGACATACAAAAAAAGAAATAAAATATTTTCAATAAAAAGAATTAATACACTTTATTCCTTTCATTTAGTGGAAATCTGAGAAGAATGTCTAAGACACAATAACACACCGAATAAATACTAATTCAGAAGTCAAACAACAAAAATCAGCATTACATTTTCAAAATTGTTCGACTTCTGAATTAATAAGAATGTCCAACTTTAAATACTCTTTAGGCTATAAATTACTTTAAAAGTAAACACAACAATTTATTAATCAAACATTTTATTGCAACCTTCTGAAAACATATTTTCTGATCATTCAAATTCACTCCAAATTATGCTCTACATCATCCAACATTTACAACTGAGGAAATCTCACATTTTTTCATTCGTTACAGCTCAACATACGAGGGCAGTCCGATAAAGTACTTAGCCTCACCGCCCGATGGCGCCACTATCGCAAGAGAAATTTATTATCATGTAGTATATCTTTGTCGAGGGCTATTGTCAAAATTTCAGCCATATTGGATTTGTAGTTTTGTTTTGACCGCGTGTAGAAGCGGGCATGCCCGCGGATTTTAGAAAAATGGAAAAAGAGCAATATCGGTCGGTGATTCGAATTCTTGTTTTTGGAAGAGGAAATCGCGCAGCGAAATCAAAGAGCACTTGGATGCTATGTACGGTGACTCTTCTTCCTTCAATGGCGAACCGTCAAAAATTGGTTTAAACGAGTTTCAACATGGTCGCATGTCAGTTTTTGATGAGCACACGCCCAGGTGCCCCAAAAATGGCGTACCATGGAGGATAACGTGACAAAAGTTCACGAATCTCATATTGGCAGACCGCCGATTGAAGGTGCGCGAGATAGCTGAGACAGTAGGCATCTCAAAAGACCGTGCATGGGTCATTATCCTGCATGAAATAATTGGGCCATGAGAAAGCTGTTGGCTCGATGGGTGCCGCGTTTGCTCACTTCGGACAACAAGCACATCTGTGAGAGCAATTCAGAGCAGTGTTTGACACTGTTTAAGGAGTTTCTGCGTCGTTTTATGACCGTTGACAAAACATGGATTCACTGGTAATTGGTAATTCCTTATCACTGGTACACACCAGAGACCAAGGAACAGTCGAAACAGTGGACTTTACCCGACGAATGTGCTCCGAAGAAGGCGAAAACTGTCCCATTGGCCGGAAAGGTGATGGCCACCGTTTTCTGTGGGATTCACAAGGTGTGATCTACATCGACTACCTGGAGAAGGGCAAAACGGTCACAGGGCTGTACTATGCCGAACTATTGGGCTGATTTGACCTCGAATTGCAGAAAAAACGGCCCCATTTGGCGAAGAAAAAAGTGCTCTACCACCATGACAACGCACTGGCTCCCACCTCCGCAACGGCCAAATTGGTTGCATTAGGCTACGAACAGCTGCCCCATCCACCGTGTTCTCCAGATTTGGCCTCGTGTGACTTCTTTTTGTTTCCAAACTTGGAAAAAACACTCGCCAGGCAGTAATTTGAGTCGAATGAGAAGGTTATTGCCGCCACGGAGACCTACATTGCAGACCTCCAGAAAACGTATTTTTCAGACGGGTTAAAGAAGTTGGAGCATTGCTGGGTCAAGTGTATCGAGTTGAAAGGAGACCATGTTGAGAAATAAATCGCCACTTTTCCAAAATTTTTGTTTCTCTTTTGTAGGCTAAGTACTTATCGGACTGCCCTCGTATATATAAATCATCCTACAAAAAGACTTAATTGCATTTACCTCAACCTTGCTTTTCCTGTGGTTGACAAATATGGTCTCATACTGTAATTACTTGACAAACACGGCATTATCAAGAATAAATAATTTTTGCATTTAAACAGAAATTGCACACTAATAAGTCCAAAAGTTCCCATTTATTTGGGAAAAAATTTTAAAATGCAAAAAATGCAAATCACAGTTTTTCGAACTTACATCAAATAAACTTCAGCAATACAAAAAACATTAATTGGAAGTTAACATCATTCAATATTTTCTTCCTTGACTTTTTTACTTTCATTTGCGAGAAACATGTTATAAGCTCGGGAATGGTGAACTTTTTGGGTTCAAAATGTGAAGTTCAGAAACTATAAACCCTAGTTTAACTCTGGTGTCCTGTCACATTAGAATCATCCATCTGCCAAGACTACACTTAAATGCACCTGAGGTAAGTGCAACACATATTGACAATAACAAGTAGAGAAATACTTTTGTATTATGCAATTTTTGTCTCCATGAACGGTTCTGGAAATGTGTACCACGCAGAACTATTTCGCTTGCCATAGGTTCAATATTTCTCAGCATCTACATTGTTATCAGGATGTGACGGCCTTGCTGCTTAAGAGCCTGTATGACATCACAACATGCCTTAATTGACACTTTATGAGCTCTTCTCTTGAAGTGTATTTAATAAAATGTTATTTTAAAGAAGCCTTCCAATAATAGCTTATGGTTACAGATAAACAAAATAATCTGCAAATATGCTTATGACTCATTTGTTACATTGAATAGCACATACTGAAACACTTTTTTAAAGAAACTGCTATCACCAATATCATTTTGTGTTTCTAATCAACCTTACCTTTCTTATTTGTAAAAATAGATTTTATCTTACTCTCAAAATAACCAACACTACAGTTCCAAATTGAAATTGTTCCTTTTGTATTTCAAAAGGCATTTCATTTCAATTTGGAATTTATAAGATAAAATTTCATTAAAAAATTATCCTTAACCTTCTCAATGTTTTGGACGTGAAATTCTGTATGGAAAGGCAGCTTCTGTATTCAATAAACATGAAAATTTCTGACAGCTTTTAATGTATCTGATTTCGGGTTGGATGTACATTGGAAGAAAAGGGATTGGGATTATTCAATTATTGCAAAGCACACAAGGGCTATCTGCCTAAAGGGAGGGATGCCTTCGTGGAAGACTTTCTAAGGGAAACTGGCTCGTATACACATTACACATGGGGAAAACCACGGAAACGCCCATGCAGCCAGCCCGTTCGCGGGTTTTGAACCTCGAACCGAACTACCAGTGTTCAGCGTCTTTACCGCTCGGCCGCTGGTGGGCTTGGAAGAAAAGGAATCAAGGTAATAAGTTTACAGGGCTAAATTTGTAACACACAGGGGGTTAAGAAATGAATACACAAGTTGTCGTCCTCATATTCAATGAGAAAAGTAACAATACAATATGGCTCAAGCAAGAATGCACTTTTTTATCAATAGTGCAGGATGCAAAGCTTTACTGCCAGTTTAGGTTTCTTTTAAGTCTTTTTTTTTTTTTTTTTAAAGTGCAAAAAAGTTATTTTAGATTCAGCTATTAATAGTTAATCCTTTCATAAATACATCACCAACAAGGTTAACTTTATAATAAAATGTTCAATAAGTATTTTCAGTAAGCTGAAATATGCAGTCATAGTCTGATACATCTGTTATTTGGAGAACATACTATTTCATATGCCTAAATCATATCAACTATTGCTTTGGAACAAGTACAGAAATTAACAATATTCTACAAAATTTGCATTCATCAAAAGACATGACTTAAGTTTTTAGATTAATAGTTTTCAATAAGACCGCAAAAATGCACTTTTCTTGTTTTTAAATGTTTCATCAGGCATTATAATTACTGATTTATCTTCCAGTTATTCTTTTAATGCTTCCTTTTTGGAAAGGTCCACATGTCACACTTGAATCTCAAAGTATTTTGAAGGGAAGATTATCTGAAGCAAGCAATTATTTTAATATATGATCATGCACAGTTAGGTGATCTAATTGATGCAGAGACATATTCCCTTTAAAAATATGTTTTCATTGGACCCTCAACATTTTTTTCTTTTCCCCAATTTCAGCATATTTTACAATTGAAAATTAGCAACAAAGCAATTTGGCACTTCATCACGCATGGCACTGAAAGCAGAAGGCCCTAAAACTTAAAAATATGGCAGGACTCTGTCTCATGTCAAAGAAAAGTCATCTGAAATTGAATATCTTTAAATTTTCGTCAGAACTATAACTTCACTGTATTCCTTATTTAATTAAAATAATCTCACAGAAAAGAGGGTTTTATAAATTATTTTCAGGTTTTCTAAAGACATTTTAATTACATAAAATTGGGCAGAGCAACAACCTTTTGTCTGGTATATATTTATCAAAACTCTTATCGATTTCGAGAGCAACAGACGCTGATTCCTCAACATCAGGAGGGGGGGGAATTATTTTTTCTGCCTAAGATGAGAGATCTGCACCTGTTGCCCTTGAAATGGATGTTGTCTTGATTAAAATATATACCAAACAGAAAATTGTTGCTTTGCTTAACTTTATGTTTTACTTTGACATATTTCTCTTCTCTATATTTTAATTAGCTTTTTTGCATAAAAGTGGTTGGAATGAGATGAGCAAGCAATGAATATTTTATAATTTAAACACTGAAAGAAAACTGCTCGTTTCATGAAATATTAGGAAAAAATTCTAAATGTAAGAATGAATGTAATTAATATTTTATCTATAGTCAAGAACTTAATGTATTTGCCTTTCATAGCAAAAAATATTATAACCATTCACTTTTACATCTCCCCATGTGCAAATGAAAAATTACATGAATTAGTAAATATGACTTCATATAAGAAATATACTTAAATCTAATAATAAAAAACCTAAATTTTTAATATTCGTATTTTTAATACCCCCAAAAAGTAATATACATGACTGCAATATTCAAAAAACTTGGGCCATGCAGTGTGTGAAACTATAATTACCAATCGAAGAGAGAAAAAACTAAAATTACCTTTCTTAGCATACTGCACAGAATACTGCATTCAGCTTTGAATGGTATACATAATACGAGAGCTTTGTCTTAAAACCACCTTTTTTTTTAAACTAGAATGTCATATTTTGCTAATTTATAATTTCCTACGTATTAAAAAATACATCAAATTGAGCAATCAAAATATGCTTAAATACAATAAAAAATTCAAGATAGTGGATTCTTAACATCTCCTTCTATTATATCTTCACATACATACTTCTTATTTTCTACTCTCTGGAATACTGGCACATTACCAAAAATCACTTCATTATTATGAGGAATGGGATAAAATACTTCTCTCCATACTAAAAGGCATTACTGTCTTGGAAATTTCAGTGTAGAAAGAGTAAGAATTATCAAATAGAACATTTAAAACACAAAAATTTTAGATAAAATATTTCTGTAAATAAAACAAAAATCTTCTACAAAACGTGCAAACAGCCTCTGAACAATTTATGAATCTTCAAACATGATACCTTTGAATGAGAATTATTAATTTGATAACTGCAAAACATTGAAGCAATCATAGAGTAATGCTACCATTTAGAGTCAAAAGCAAGCACTAATTACAGCATTTGATGTAAAAAAATTAGCATTTTTTTCAAAGCTAAAAAAAGGATAAATTTACAGTATATTTTATATACCAATGCCTTTCAACTGATCAAGACCATTATTCTTTGGGTTACTTTAAAATTAATACTTCAATTAAAGTACATATAATATCTGAAAAATGCTGCTATTTTTAGCTATGTAAGATCAATGCAGCCACCTACATACAAAGATATACAAATTATGAAATGATTTATCAGAATTATAAAATAAATAAAAAATATAACCTGTGACAGTTTAAATGAAAAATGTTGCATGAAGTGTAAAAAGAATTTTAAAATTTACAACTTTATAACCAATTTGGTACTCTTCTGTTTTCAGAACCGGATTCAGAAATGTACATATAGCTATATGTGTTCATATATGCATGTATGTCCGTGTGTACACACACATACATATGTATATGAAAACATACATACATTTCAGAATTCGGTCTCCTTAACAAAAGAGTACCACCAATTTGAATAGATATTTAATGTCGTAAAATATTCTATTTTAAAAACTCAGAAGCAGCAAAATATACATCATAAGCAGCATAAGAAATTCCTTTTTATGTAATTTTACATTTTCATACCTTTTAAATTATCTGAAGAGCATGCAAGATCAGTTTAATCCAGTCGAGGTTTTTTTTTTTTTTTTTTTTTTTTTTTTTGTCACTTGGTATTTATTTGCTCATAATTTAAAATAGTTTGCTTTCCTACATTTTTAACAATATAAATATTATCTTAATGAATGTTTATCAAAACTTAGACTAAATTAGGTATAAATTTACTTAATAAAAGATGTCTTCATTAACAAATCCAAAAAGTAGTGCCACTGAGAGGATTGAGGGAAGAAGGGCATTTATCTTAATAGTCGCTAGAATTCATAGAAAAATAAAACATATTTGCTAAATAATCTGTATTTGTACTTATGCCCAGCACTGCATTACATTTTTTCATTAATATGATGCTCCTTCCCTCCAAAAAACCTCCAATTAAAGCCATATCTTAGATTCACATCCTAACTTCAATTACCTTAAGAAATTTAAAATATATATATATATATATATATATATATATATATATATATATATATATATATATATACTTAGTAAAATATATACTTATACTTATACTTAGTAAAAAATATACTTATACTATATACTTAGTAAAAAAGACAAAAATACCTGAATAATAATATGGGCTTGATATTAAATAATTTATTATTCAAGTTTTTCAACCTATTATTCACACACATTAATAAAGTAAGAAAAATTTAACATGAATACTACAAATAACTTATGGCACAAAATTCAGTTTAATATATAAAAACATACATACATTTGCAATTTGAGAAAAAGCATTGACATCTTCATCGGATACTTCACTAAAAAGAAAGAAATGACATTTAATACTGTGACTGATGCTTATAGATTTTTATGCAATGCTTTATTTAACCACTTCACAGGCCTACGAAACTCAAATACTTGCTTGTTTATTTCCTTCCCCACCTACAAAATTTTTGCATCTGAAACTGGCGTTGGAAACATTTCTCCTCCCCTTTTTCATCACCTGTCAAGATGTAAAAAATCTCCTATTTATCTCTCTACCCAGGAGAAATATTTCTTTTTGTTCTTTAGTCTCTTATCTGAAAATTAACAGAGACTGTTTTAAATAAGAAATGCACAAGAAAACCCCTAAAAGCACACTTTTAAATGAGTAGTTCCACTGAAATTCGAAATAAAGGAGAGCCAAAAGTGCATTCCTGTTTCTTGTCTTTGTAAGTGAACTTACCCTTGATACAACCTTGCAATGAGAGTGTGACAAATTAAACCATTAATTATCAGTCTTCATTTTCATTGGATTTGGAGAGGGGCATGCAAAACAAGAAGCAACGAATGTCTCTTGGTAAGGATCCAGGCCACATTTAATCCCAATGAGTGTGTGACGTGGCTAATACTTTATGACAATTTTCAAATCATTGAGCCTCTCGGGAGGGTGGGGCAGTGAAGTGGTTAAGAACTTCACAATTTGCCATATATCAAAGTGTATACACATAAAACTTATTAAATTTTTGTAGATATAAAATTCATAAATATATTAAAATTAAAAACTATTTTAGAGTATATACACACACTATTTAAAAGAATGGTATTATCACAACCACCTTAGTACAAGTCACCAAATTCTCAGAATGTGCCAAAACTCTGGCACTCATGCACATAACCATTCTTTGGACAACTCTGTTCAAACCAATCCTTCACTCATGCTGCTATTTTCATATACTCTGTTTCTGTTGTACTCCAAGTTCCAACAGTTTTTATAAACAAACTTGTCATTTTTTTTGTCTTAAATTTAATTTTAAAACATGCATTACTGAAATTTGTCAGGGGAAAAAAAAAACTTGGTAAAAATTCTGTAAGAATAAATATTTTGCTTCAAAATCTCCTGCACCATGGCCAGTGCCTGACGTTTTTTTCGGAAACAGATCGCCCTTGTACGTGGAGAGCAGAACAGAGAAAAAAAAAAAAAAAAAAAAAAATGCTGGCAGATTTGGAAGAATGTAAGTATTTTACTTTTTAATGCATCTTGTAATATAACTTTTACCTTTTCATGTGAAAAACTACACAAGATGGTCGAGTTAATATGCAAATACTAAAAAATCAACACATCATGACTTTTTATCCATATAGTGCTAATTCTTGATAGGCAGTAGAAATTACTTTTCCCACCAAGCAATATAAAAAAGGGTAAAAATATATTTACGGGGATCCCTTGGCAAAAGTTGGCGATGTTTGGCAGTACATGGACACTGAGTCTGTGCAATTCTTTGACTTGTTATTTTGGCTTTGTGTAGCAGCGATTTTTGATGGTACATGTACACCGAGTTTGTGCAATTCTTTGACTTATTATTTTGGATTTGTGTAGTGGCGATTTTTGCGAAAAATTGCCGCTTCACAAAACCAAAGTAACAAGTCAAAGAATTCCCCAAATTCGCTATCCATGTACACATCAACCTATTTTCACTTAAAAAACATCAGAGAATTGTGTACACTTGGCACTATGCATTCCCTTGACTCTGTCTATGCAAAAATTGATCTATTTTCACTTGAAAAGTCAAAGGAGCAGTAAATTCTACACTAGAGTCAAACAAAAAATATATAATCTCAATAAACTAAATTTTAAGTCAAACAATGATGAAGGAACATAAAACATAAAAAATAAATATAATATGAAATAACATAAAAAGGAAATTTCTCTAAGCACTACATAAAGGAAATATCCTGTTTATGTGAGTATCGTTTGCTTCATTTTATTGATGCAAACAGCATAAATTTCTTTTGTTTTTCTTCCTTTAGTTTTGAACTTTATGTGTGGCAACAAGATAATTGATTGATAGAATTGTGTTTGTGACAGCCATGTAGAATGGCTCACTTATTTTGTATCAATTATTGAGCATATTACTTGCAAAACCAAATTTTAAAGTAGTTTGTATTTATTGTAAAATATGTAAGTGTATGGGTAATGCATTTCATTTTCATTAAGTTTTTGTGTAATGTTTAGTGCAATTTGAAAGCTGTGCACTGCAAATATTTTAATTTTTCAAATGAAAAAAATGCTAGTGAATATTATTTGTTTTATAACCACATAAATATTTCATCACCTAAACGAAACATATTAAGTTTAAGAACATTTATTGTTGGTCCGTCGAGCCGGAGGTTTTTAACAATGACGGTTCACTTGTCGACCATTTGTGAAGCTCAAAGCCACCACTTTTTAGCAGATGCTGCAATTCGTCTATCAATGCAATACCTTCCGAACTATCTTTTACACCAGTTAACATATCATCAACATAAAAATCTCTTAAAACTATATTCTTTGCCTTTTGAAAGTTCAATCCTTCATCAATCGCTAACTGACTCAAAACTTTGGTTGCAAGATATGGAGCAGCTGCAGTTTCATATGTAACTGTTTTCAAACGACAAACTTGTATTTGTTTATACGGGCTATCTCTCCATAATATTCTCTGAAAATCTCTTATCTTTTTCATGAACCTTTATCTGTCTGTACATCATTTTAATATCAGCGGTTATTGCAATGTTATGAAGTCCAAATCTTAGTAAAATACAAATCAAGTCATCTTGCATTTTTGGGCCTATCAATAGCGTATCATTTAAAGAAACACCTGTGGTTGTTGTTTTAGCGCTCGCATCGAAAACAACTCTCAATTTTTTTGTTAAGCTACAGTCCTTCAACACGAAGTGATGTGGGATATAATAGTGTTTATTCTCTAATTCATAATCTGTGTCTGGCACTAATTCTACGTGTTCTAGAGAAAGGTACTCTTTCATAAACTGAATATACTGGTTGTAAATTTCTTTCATAGATAACAGCCTCTTCTCCAAGTATTGAAATCTTCTGTACGCCATTTCACGGGAGTCACCTAAAATATCTCTATTATGTTTGAATGGTAATGCAACTGAATAACGACCTGATGTGTCTCTAAAATGCGAGTTTTTAAAATGTTCTTCACAAAGTTTTTCTTCATTTGTTAAAGGTTGTACATTTGGAGAATTGGAGAGAAAGAATTTACTAAATCATCTGTGTTTGTATTCAAATGATTTACATATACATACTACAAAATTTGTAGATTCAAAATTTGTAGTACCCGAAATTATCCATCCCAACCTCGAATTTAGAGCAAATGGTAGATCAGGACCACATTTGACAATTTCTCCCGTCATTAAATGCAGAAATACATTTACTCCAAATAAAATGTCAACTGGTTGTGACTTGTAAAATAATGGATCAGCTAATTGTAAATCACTGAAGATATCGAAGATGATTGATGGAAAAGATACATAGGGAATGTTATCTGTCACCTTGTCCAGTACAAACGCTGATGTTGATACACGAATATCACTTTTAAAATGAGAAGTGAATACTAAATCGACTTCCCCATTACTTATAGTATTAAATTCTCCTAAACATGATACAGAAATGGAATTATCTTTCACTCGTAATCCTAATTTCTTCACACAATTCCTTGAAATAAATGACCTCTGAGATCCAGTGTCACATAAACATCTACACTTCACAAATTGTTGCTTAGAATTTTGAACTTTTATTAAAGCAGTACACAATAAAACATGACTAGTTTGATTACCTTTTGCATTCGAATCATAATGAAAGGCACAAACTGTGGCTGAAACGTCCTCAGGACTCGTTAATTCATCTCTTTTAGGGATAGATTGCATAAGAGGAGATATACTGTTTAACTGAGTTTTATTCTTCGAATTATTTACAATGTGCAAAATACTGTGATGCTTCTTAGAGCAATGTTGACATGTATTTAAACTCTTGCATTTTTTGAGCAAGTGCATATTAGATAAACAATTAAAACAGTAACGATTAGATTTTACAAATTCTGTCCTTTGCTGAACCGATAAATTTAGAAATTTCGAACATTTGGCTAAACTATGATCTTCTTTACAATAACCACAACCCAAAGTAGCAACCAGAACATTATTCTTATTTTGAAACACAGATTCAGGTACCTTATTACTTGTTGATTTGCTATTTTGAAGTGTTCTTGCATAGTTTTTTAGGAATTAAAGTCGTTAAGTTTTGGAATCTCATTAGATTTTAACCGACGTTCCCACCATAATTTTGTAGAAGGGTCTAATTTTTGCAAAATTTAATATGTCATTAAAGTGTCACCAAAATTATCAATGGTTTGATTCAATACTTCTAAAGAACCAATTACTTCATTAATATTGTCAACTAAATTTAAAATAGCAAATGCTGATTCATTTTGAATAGTTGGTAAGCTTAGAAAACGTTTAATATATGCAAAAATTTGTTCTCTCTTTTTTGAATATCTTTCATCTAACAGATTCCATGCTATTTCAAAATTACAATCCGAAATTTGAATGGTTTGAATAATGCAATATGCTTCCTTCACCTTTCAACAAAGCCTTCAAATACTGCAATTTTTTAGCATTAGATAAATTTGTATTATTTCTTACACAAGCACTGAAAAGATCTTTAAAAGCTATCCATTCTGTAATATTACCACCAAAAGTCGGTAATGTTAACTTGGGTAATTTAATATTGTCAAGAACCTGTTCTGAAATTACACTATTAGAATTATTTTTACTATTTTGATTTTTTAATATTTTTTCACCTTTAAATTTCTACAAATAAATTTTATCTGTGTACTCCTGAACATTATCTATTTCATTTTCTAATTCTTTAGTATCTGTAATTAAACTTTCGATTTCAGAATCAAGCTTCTTTAACTCAATTTCTTTTTGTGTCAATAATTCGACATATTCCTCTAGTTCTATTAAATTAATTTCATCTGCAGTTAAAATAGTTTCAATT